GAGAGAGAGAGAGAGAGAGAGAGAGAGAGAGAGAGAGAGAGAGAGAGAGAGAGAGAGGTCCCATGAGCAGGTCACATATGGTAGGCATGTCCGCCAGTGCAGGTAGGTCATGTAGGGCAAGTACGCCTGCAGTGCTGATCGGTCGCGTAGGGTCGGCCGTGTAGGGTAGGTCGCGCAGGGCAGGCTCGTCCAATTGTGCACGTAGGGGGCCTAGGGCAGGTACATCCAATAGGGTAGGCCGTGTAGGGTAGGTTGCGCAGGGCAGGCTCGTCTGATTGTGCATGTAGGGGGCCTAGGGCAGGTACGTCCAATAGTGCAGGCAGGCCGCTAGGAGGGCAGGCGGGTCGCGTAGGTGGGCCGGCCTGACTTCTTTTTTCCTTTTTTTTTTTTTTTGCCCCCTGACATTTCACGGCTACAGAAAGCGGCTAAATCCATGCAAATGCTCTCAACCGGAAAGAGGCCCTGCACCCTAAAGTAAAAAAGAACAAATGAACCTACCCCAGAAACAGACCCAAGCACATCGATCAAAGCACAGACCTTTGCGTCCCTTCAGAGTTCCTTTTTTTTTTTTTTGAAGCTTCAACAGCACGGATCTCCTGACTCGAGAAAGGGCATCGCTCCACTACATCGAGGGGCACCTACCCCGTATGTGGACCAATGCATTGAAAACGGCCCACTTGCCTTTCTTCTTTCTTTTTCCAAAACACGTTTCCTCGCCGTGACAGGCGCATCAGATTTCACAACGGACGTCTCACAATCTTTCATCTGAGGGCTGGCCGCGATCGCGGCGAATCACATACGTGCCGGCATTTAGAAGTTGTGAAAAGTTGTACGCAAGACGACAGCCACAGATCACACATCGTACGGTCAGCACCCCCCAGCGGCCTCCACGTACGCAGCCCACGTCCCCTAAGCATTAGTAGTGGGAGAGATCTAGTTCTCCGACTTACTGAAGAACCAGGCTCCAGGGTTTGGAGTTTAGGATTTAGGAATAGGGTTTTGGGTTTCGGGTTTAAAGATCAGGGTTTAGGTTTCTGAGTTTAGATTTGGTTTTAGGGCTCTCAGACTCCATGAAATGTGAAAAACACACAGCCTTGGTGGGCAGAGCATGCAAAGCATGGTGGGTACCTTGCTTTCTTTGAAAGCGCCCTCTGCAATAGATCTTTCAAAGTATCAGGTGTGAAGGTCTTGACCAGGGTCTCTGTTCCTCCAACTGCTTTAGCAAGCTCTGCAAGACAAGCATAAAGAATGACCTGTGTGGTGGTCATACCAATCCTGGGTTGTCAATCATTGGTGGCAGAGAATCATTATCTCATGCAAGAAAGGGAAACATGACAAAGATGGTTTTCCAGGACAGAGACTGTGAGAGCAATAAAAGTGCAAGAAATCACACATAAGTGCTGCTTGAGATTACCCCTGTTCTTTATCCATGTCTATTTTACCAGGGTCGCGGCACTTGCCAGGCAGCTAGGTCTGGGCAGGCCAGACCGAGCTATCCAGGTAAACCCCACCTGCCTGGGTAAACTGGGCAGGTCAAAATAGGGGTAAGGAGGCAAGGCCTGCACTCGGTCTGAGCAATCAGAATCTTGAAAGGATTCACAGTCAAACCAGCATTGCAGCACTCTGTATTGTAGCTATTGGAAACATCAAAAATTTGAGGTCAAAGGTCGGGCTGTAGGGTCCTGAGCAGACTAGTCATGCCGATGGTAGGTGCCCCTCGATTGGTCGGTGGCCTACCAGCCGACGTTTCACCCATAGGCACCTACTGGTCGATTATTGGCAGGCACCCCACAAAAAACAAAACAGCGAAACAAAAGCGAGACCCACCATACCCCCTGAATATTCCCCATCGGCACTCCCCGTAACCCGCCCATAACCCCACAAAAACCCAATAACGGCCGCCAACACCCCCAACCCCCCCCAGCACCCGCCTAAAAACCCCTAACGCAACCAGAACTGCACCCAACAACCCCATACCCCCTCCCTAGCCCCCCGATACCTTCCCCATAACCCCCTTCCCTCCCCAGAAGTTTCTCAGCAGATTTGGGATGTACTAAGCAAGCACAGTGCAACCCCAAACTCAGATTTGGAAAAAAAAAAAGTGGATGACACTCTTGTGGCTAGCAGGCAGACTGCCTACCAGTGGACCCTACCTGTAGGCTGCAGAACGGTCGGCCGTAGGCTGCAAAACTACCCTGGTCCTGAGGTCAATAGCCTAGGGGCACAGCGTCCAGAACAGTCCCCAGGACATGACAGGTCAACCCAGGCCTTAGGAAGCCAACAGTCAGGCTGTACCAGGTCCAGCAGTCCAAGAGTCAAAGATTTCTCAAGAAGTAAACCAAGGTCACCGACCACATATCAGGCTCGGAAATAGTTTCCAGACTGCGTCTGTTGCATACCTGTCTCTTATACACATCTAGATGTGTATAAGAGACAGGGCCTGCCTGCTGTGTGCTGCCTGGCTGCGCTGGG